CCTCAGCGAAATTCCTAGATCCATCGTTGGTTGTGGAACTGCTATGACATATTGACTTATTTCAAGTAGGTATCATGTATCTATTTGTCATTGAGGTATATTGTGACACTAGTGTTGTATTTACTCTGATGTATCTATATTAATGTTGCAAAGTTTGCTTAATTATATTTGGGTAGCCTTAACTAAGCTAATATTTTAAAAACTCTACATAGTTTACCATATATATTGATTCTTGACGAAGAGCATTTTTCGATGTACTGAAGTTAAATTTTTGAGTAAGCTATGAAGTTAAGACGAACTTTTCATAACATTTTATAGAATGGTGAGTCCATGATGACATGGACTATCAGTTAGCCATCGACCTCGTTGTCTGCATACGGGCCATGAAATATAGCTCGTATTTTGTAGATAATATCCTCTCGAACAAGTGTCCACATGTCGAATTCTAGGCTCCCGCAGGTGGAGGTCCACTACCCCAAATCCAACTCCGATAGCCACATCACCATCCTTAAGCTCCCCTATCGAGGCGCGTTCACATTGATAGCGCACCCATATTAGACTTGGTGAACCACATATAAATATCTAGCTCAGATAGCCATCTACAGTGATGTAGCATGAAGAATAACTCAATAGTCCAGTTTTAGAAATTAGCTCGGTTAAACCAGTTTGGAAGAACTCTTGTTCGTCCAGAAATAAGTAATCCAGTTAAGTAGCTCGCATTTGAACTTAAGGTACTGGCATACATGAAGGTATCGACCACTAGGAGCTCAACAATAAAGTCTACCCCGAGGTATCGAGGTCATAGAACTTGAGGTCACGTTAGACCACAGAAGAAGGTCATGTTCGACCTCGACCATGTCGCAGCAAGTAGGTCAGGAGGTCGTGGTTACGGCTTGAGTACTAAGGGTTGCATAGGAAGGGAGAAAGAATCTTAGTAAGAAGGAAATTATCACTTGCTCGTGGTAGGTTAGGAAATGTGATATGGTGGGATCTCTTTCCTAACAAAGATACTCTTGGGCATCAAGACAACTATCCTTTGTAAGGGTGTCTGGTTTTTCTTCATTGAGATATCGCCTATTATACGTCTTAATTAAGTTACATATTCTCGTTTATATTTGTTGAGCAAGTTTTTACTTGAGCTCGAAGATTTTCTATCGAGACCCCTCCTGGTGTATTGCAGGTCACTGGAGCTCAAAGACGAATGAGGTTCACAGTGTAAGCGGTTCAACTCAGTTCGTGACAAAAAGCGACGCACCGTACATCTCAAGGTTTGACCTCATTGAGGAGCTTGGTATGCTAGCTCAAGAGAAGACTCAATTATAACTTGGTGATAAGGGTTCAAATTCATCGAGAAACTCGACTACGAAAGAGATATTTAGCGACCCAGAGATACCTTCATAAGGTTCGTAGTAAGTCGCTAAACGACCTAACAAAGTGCACAACAGAGAGGTGAGTAAGTCGAAGTTGTGACCTAAGCATAGGTTATAATGTGAAGTTATAGAGAATTTCACTATTATGGTAAAGTATTTTATAGAAGTACAAGAGATGTAGGAGACTTGTCATACTAAGAAACGAGGTACGCGTATATCTTTTTCCTAGTAACACGATGTCTTGGAGGAGATTACAACCTTTTTATAAAAGGAGGTTCGACTAGGCTGGTTTTGTGATATTTAACATGCAATATAGCTAAAAAATCAAATCTCTAACTTAAGTGTCGTAAGTTTTTCGCCAGGACCCCCTCCCGGCGTGTTTTGCAGGTGACCGATTTCAATCGAAGGACTGGTCACAACATAAAACTATTCATTTTAGGTCGTGATATATGTATAATGTCAAAGACGCCCTCGACATGCTCTATGGCCGTGATTAGGCTTGCCCATTTGTCGTCACATATTAATGTATAAATATTTCTACAATAAGTCCTGTAAGAATGCGTGGAAATTCTATATTGTATTTGTAATATCCCGTCAGTTTATTAATGTGCAACATACTGACTTAATCATCGGAGGCTCTTCACTGGACACAACCCCCAGTGTGAGAGTTATTTGCAGGTTTCCGGCGTTCTACCGGCGAGGACAAGAACCGATTTATTCCAAACCGGACCAGGACGCTCACACTTGCATTAAATATTATGAAATGTTAATACATCTTCCACTACAAAAAAATTATTATATTTCAACAAAAAATCCTATGATAATATATATATTCAAATGGAAATTCCAACGGGTATTCCAATGGTATAGCTTCGTTGGAATGTGTTTTTCATTAAAATTTTAGATAAAATTTGATGATTCCAACGGCTACATTTTCAACGACTTTTTACTGTAGGAATTTTCGTAGGATATTTTTGTTGGGTTCGATATACCGTACGGAACAAAGTTTACAGCGGAATTTAAAATTTTTATAAGATTGGTGTGACCTTTTAGGTTCACAATTAATACTAGTAGTGGGTTTACAACTCTTTGTCATTTGAGTTATTCATATTAACTCTTATTCTTGAATTAACTCTTTAATTCAAGAACCCACATATCATGAGAACATCTAGCAAGTAGCATGAATTTAGTATTAAGTGAATAGCGAGTAAACCTATTTCGATTACAAGTCCATACATGTAAAATCCTTTCGACATCCAATTTCCCGATTAAATCTTTGGGTATGATTTTGTCGAAACCCAAATTGATTTAATAACTATGATTCCATTTCAAGTTTAGTAATTCGTTTATGAATCTCTATTCATCCCGCCTTGGCCAAGGACTTTGAATTACTAACTATGAAACACATAGGAAATTCACTTATCTTCATAAGTGTCGAATCCTTTGTTGGCCACTGACAAACTTCCATACATATTAATATAATACCCAAAATATCCCTTTATACGATTATGCTAGCAATCAAAAGGATAAATCAAAGTAAAATATAATATGCACAAAGTTACCATCGTGCCTCAAGTCTAAGGATTTATCATGTACTATTGTAACATGAAAATTCTTATTCGACATGATAAACTTTCATTAAGAATTTTCATACGGTCATGTTCGGTGAACTTGTTCTCTAACAAGCACCCACATATATGTATTTGCGTCACACGCTAATGTTGATGGAATGCAACATTCTTATCTAATAAGCATACATACTATGTGCAAGTCTTTTCCGGATTTATTCGATATCCTATCTCGAAATATCCAACGACTTGTAACTGTATTTAAGATCACAACTTTCAAGATATGTTCCATAATCACCATCTCTATGCGCAACCATATCTTATAGCTATAAGTGATCTAGGGATTTTATCTTAAGTGCAAATATATGATAAATGCTTACTCTTAAAATAAAGTAATGCCTTATTATTTAATATAATTTCAATAGATTGTATTTACAAGTAGAATACGTCCAATCTGATTGGAACGCCGGGTATACTACTCCAACAATTTTCACTCCCATTGGAAAATCTACCGTTGAAATCGTCAAAATCCAACAAATATTCTAATAAAAAACTCATTCCAACGAAATATTCTTGTTGGAATTTACATTGAAATCAATAAATTCCAACGTAAACAATAGCATTAAAATATTCATTGGAATTGCCGATGGAATTTTATTAAAATATATTTCCGTTAGAATTTCATCATTTTCTTGTAGTGGTCGCCCCTATATACAATTTTCGAATGCGTTGAACCTAAATGACATGCTCGTGTGCTCCGTAAGCTTGTTTGACATAAATTGGTGCTTCATATTGACACATTTTCAGGTTTTGTTTCGACTATTAAGTTTGAGAATTATCATAAACTACTTTAACTTTCTTTTTTTCTTAACGTACCATATACCACTCTTACCTTTTTATTTAATTATAAATATGTATTCTTTTTATTTTTAAAACTTTATAATTTTTTTATTTGTATTTTATTTTTTATGTATGATCTATCAGAATATTCATATTTTACAATTTTTGTTTTGACATCCATATTGCATGCATAAAATAAAAAATAATTTCATCTATCTTTATAAATAAAATCAATTTTATTATCAACTCAATTTAAAAAATATCTTATAACAATATAAATTATTTTTTAAAAATATTAAAAATATATTTATTAATACACCATAAAATAATCATTTTATTGTCCATTAATTTTGGATGAAAATTACATAAAAATATTTTAAAGACAGATTATGAAATATTATTGAGTAATTTAAATAGATTATATAAAAGAAATGAATGTTATTATGTTATTTAAATTAATAAATATAAAAGAATATCATAATTAAATATAATAAAATAATTTTGTACTTCATAAAGTTTGAAAATAATACACTTTTACGTAAAGTCTATTAATCATATGAATTTAAAATACTTGAAAAATTAATAAATATGATACACTCACTCTATAAGTATGAATATAATTACAATGCAGTAAAATTTGGTTTGTTAAAAATAACGAATCAAATATATGAAGTTGTAAATAATATCAGTTTTATACAAAGATATTTTAAAAAAATAATTAAAAATATATTTTTGGAAAATTTAATGTAAACTACGGCCACCATTTAATTATCACTTTGTTAGTTATTTATTATTGAAGCATATTTATTATACATAATTGCACAATAAAAGTTTAAATTATTTTAATATTTATTGTACATATTAATATATTTAAATACTCTTATAGTACTAAATATCAAAAAATTTCCTTTTCATGGAATATACTAAGAATATATTTTTTCTTTGAGTCCCTATACCTCCAAAAGTTGCAACCTCAACCTAAAAAATACAAATGACAACATAAATACATAATACCAATAGTAACAATAATAAATAAAAAATAAAAAATAAAAAGCGCACACACACACACAATGCAACCATACTCCATCTTGTCTATATAAATCCCAACTCCACCACCAAAAAAATTCCCATCACATCCTTAAATCTCTCTATTTTCTCACTCAATTTTTTTTTTTTCTTCTTCTTCTTCCCATTTTTCTTGGTTGCTCTTCGTCAAGAATCCATGAACATCAACATACAAGGCCAAGCGCTCGGCTACGCAAACTTGGGGCCTCGGAATCTAAAGTCGTATGTGGTGGAGACGATGAAGACGGCCAAGAAAGTCGGGCAAGAAGACCCGAGACGGGCCGTGCACGCCGCGAAAGTCGGGCTGGGCCTCACGATCGTGTCGTTATTCTACTATTTCCGGCCGCTTTACGAAGGGTTCGGGCAGGCCGGAATGTGGGCCATCCTGACCGTCGTCGTGGTTTTCGAATACACAGTCGGTTAGTATTTTTCATGAAAGCATTTGACCAATTTGAGTTTACGATTTGACAATTCATTTTTTTTATTATATATATATATATATATAATTATTTTGATTTGTTCGTGTTACAATGAGAGTGTCACTTTTGCTAGTGTATATATATACGCTGTTTGACTTATATATTCTTATTTTAAATGTCAAATTGAACATAATGAAAATATTGAAAAAATCTAATTAGTATGTTTTAATCTTTTGATTTTGCTTTATGAGTATAGAGAAATCTAATTTTTTCCCCCTTTTTTTTTTTTTTTTTCTCTTTATATTTAATTCTTTTGAAATGTGAATTTTGTTTAGGTGGGACCCTATCAAAAAGCTTGAACAGAGGTTTTGCAACGCTGGTGGCCGGTGCATTAGGGCTCGGAGCTGAGTACTTGGCCGGTCTATGTCGAGGAAAAGGAGAGCCTGTCGTTATAGGGATTTTGGTCTTCATTCTAGGTAATTAAAAAGTCATTTATCTTTTCTTTTTTTGCCCAAAAAAAATAAAAGGTAAAAAATCGTAAAATATAATATGTTTACTAGACATACATAATTACACATATATATTTTCATTAGTTTTTGTCATTTGTAACGTAAATATTTTCTTATGGATCTTGATTAATATAATTGTACATTTCAATTGCCATTGCAGCTTCAACATCGACGTTTACTAGGTTTATCCCCAACGTGAAGAGGAGGTACGATTATGGCGTGCTCATATTCATACTCACCTTCACAATGGTGGCAGTCTCGGGTTTTCGAGTCAGCGAGATCCTGCAGTTGGCCCACCAGAGGCTCTCGACCATCGTCATAGGTGGCGCGACTTGTATGGTTATATCCATATTCGTTTATCCAGTTTGGGCGGGTCAGGACCTACATAATCTGGTAGCCGGGAATATCGAAAAACTTGCCACCTTCTTGGAAGGTGCGTATATGTATGCATAACACAAATTCTTCCGGGAGCCAACTTATTCGTTATGCGCGTCAAACTGCGACATTATTTAACAATAATGCATAATCATAGTATATGAAAATATCATATTTTTATTTATCTATCGAAAAAAGTAAAATGTTTGATCGAATTATATTTTATAATTTAATTTTATTTGTTTATTTTTTCCTTTTTATAATAGGGTTTGGGAGTGAAGTTTTACTTTGTCTAGGGGATGAAAATAGCAAGGCTTTTTCTAAGAGTGATCATGACAAGCAATTTTTGGAGACCTATAAAAGCGTGCTAAATTCCAAGGCCAACGAGGAATCATTGGTGATTATTATAATTTTCCTTACATAACAATATTATATATATATAATAATTTATATATTTAGAAAATTAGTAATTTTTTTTTTTTTAAATTTAATTTGGTTGATTTTCAGGCAAATTTTGCTTGGTGGGAGCCTCCACATGGTAAATTCAAATTTGGTCATCCATGGAAAAAATATGTGAAGATTGGGGCTCTTATTAGGGAGTGTGCTTGCTTGATTGAGACACTCAATAGTTACAATATTAACTCCAAATCTCAGGCGAGGGTAGGTATTTACTATATAATCCTTTTAATTTTATTAAATTTGTTTTTTTTTAGGAAAACTAAAAAACTAATCTTTGAGTTTGGAAAATTAGTATAATTATATTCATAGTTTTCACTATAAATTCAAAATCGAAAATTAATTAATCATTATTATATGGGGAAAAATTTAAAACTAGTCCCACAGGTATATGGTGGTGACAATTTTGGTCCCAACGAAATGCAGAAAATATGAATAGTCTCACAGCTTTTTAAAAATGATCAAAAGTAGGAATTTTTTGCCGGATTTACTATTTCTTGCCCGGAAAGCCACGTCGCGTACATGTGGCTTATTTTTTTACACGCTGGCATCCGACATGTTCATATTTTTTTCGCATGTTGTGGGACTATTCATATTTTTCTGCATACTTGTGGGACCAAAATGTCACCCCCTATACTTGTGGGACTAATTTTGAATTTTTCCTTATCTACGTCGGATGCCAGCGTGTAAGAAATTAAGCCACATGTGCATGACGTGGCGTTCCGGGCCAGAAATAGTAAATTCGGCAAAAATGTCCTACTTTTGATTATTTTTTAAAGGCAAAATTGCATATAAATGCACCACCATTCATGTTTTTGCAATTTAATCACCACATTTGCAATTTAACAATTTAATACACCACTAGAACAGGCCCGAAATTGGGCCTGTGATTCGAATTGCAAAAAATAACTAAAGTGGTGCATTAAATTGCTAAATTGCAAATGTGGTGATTAAATTGCAAAAACATGAAAGGTGGTGCTTTTATATGCAATTTTGCCTTTTTTTAAAAGCTCTGAGACTAATCATATTTTTTGCATTCTCGGGACCAATATTGTCATCCCTTATACCTGTGGGACTAGTTTTGAAATTTTTTTACTATATGGTTACCAACAACGTATTGAAATAATCGTTATTTCTCCTAATCAACCATCCACGACGGTTACATGATAATCTAACGGTTACAAATTCCGACGAAAAGGTTCCGTAACGAGGCTGTAGCATGATGATCTAACGGTTACAAATCCTGAAAGGATTGGTTCCGTAAAGAAAATATAGCATTTCCCTGTATTTTTAATGAGTGGTAGCAATATTAATCTGTACAATTTTTAAATTGATAGTTTCTAGATTTAAAATCTGTACACATTTGTCTCTTCAGACACCCTCATCGGAACTTCATATGCGCATACAAAAATCGATCGCCACCATCAGCACCGAGTCCGGCAAGGCCCTCCGATCACTCTCCGCCGCCATGACGCAAGCCACACGCCCATCCCCCGCCGTTAGAGCCCACGCGCAAAACTACGGAGCCGCGGCCCGCGACCTCAAGGCGGCCCTCGATGGGCCTCCCGATACGAAACTGGGGGGCGACCTTTACCAGCTCATGCCGCTGCTCGTGGTCGCGTCCGTTCTGATCGACGTCTCGGATTTAGCGGACGAGATCGCGCTCGCCGCCGGCGAGCTCGCCGAAAAGGCGCGTTTTGGTGAGCCACAGGTTCTCCAACGTGGGGTCGTGAGCCCCATCGACGACGATTGCGGCGGCGGAGGGGGGTCACCGGAAAATGGGGGCAGTCGACTGCCGGAGTGAAGGGCAGAGTGGGAGGGGGTGTGTATTTTTTCTATTATTTATTTATAATTAATTGATTATTATAAAATATAAATGTGTGAGAAAATTAAATTAAATAATGGCACCTATATGAGACTGTAATACTATTTGTTGTTGTGCATGAGTCGATGACGTATGGGTGACGGTGTATATGTAATATTGTTGAGATATAAAATGTCAACTTGTTATATTTTTTTTCTTTAATAAAATGTATGATTGTATTATGAATTGACCATTTTATTTACGTTATTTTAATTTCTCAAAGAGTTAATTACTTAGAAAATACTTTCCTAATCTAATGATCTATAGTAGAACATGCTAATTCAATCAAGTCATATGATCAATTAATTCAATCAGTTATCAACTTTCGCTATCTATCAAACAATGCCTATATTTATTTATTTAAAGGTGTGACTATATTTTGACAATTTATTAATATTATTTTTTGTATATATATTTGCTAAATTAATTATTAACATATCAATGTTAGATTATTATAAGTAGCTTGCAAAATTAGATTGCATGCTCACTCTTGGGCTTTGTAACAACAAATTTTATGAAAAACATATTTTTTTTTGTACAACTCTTATTTTTCTCTTTTTGAACTTGGATTTTATCTTCAAATTTGGATTTAATAACAATTAGATCTCCTTCATGATTGATTTTTCTAACATTAATTGGAGGTCGAATGAGATTTTGACTTCTTACAAGACCGATTTCTCTATAATTCTTCTTACCTTGACTTCTTACAGGATTGATTTCTTTAATCTCCTCGAAAATGGGATTTTGACTTAAATAATGTTGAGTCGATAGCTTGCTAGTTTTTTTCCTGCATAGAGCGTTAAATTGGTTGAACTTCTCAACGAATGCGCTTGAATGTTGCTCGATCATTAATATTGATATTTTTGGATTGATTTGAAACGAGTGGATGTCGTTTTCTTTACTTCTTGGAGAAGAGTTGCCGCATCTTTTCATTCTTCTTGGCCTTCTTCTTCGTCTTGGTCATTTTCTTCATTGAACATACTTCGATGGTTCGAATGCTTGGTTGTGGGTTGAATGTCGATTTTTAATTGAATGCCCTTGGATAATTAAGAATGTCCTCAAATCTTGAACAAAGTTCTTAAGATCTCTTGATTCTTGAACTACGTTTTGTGACTTTCATGAGAGTCATATTTATGAGTGTAGGAGAGTAGTTTTAAAGAGGAAGACATCAGTATCAATTCGATTGGTCGTTCATGATTTGATATAATCTCTTTTCAAGATTTTTCCTTAGCCTAAATTTTAACTTGTGCAAGTAATTAAAGTAAGCTCGATTTGTTTAATAAATGAATTATAAGTCAAAATCGAACAACTAACGATCGAATAGTTTTGTTTATTTAGAATTTTAATTGTATATCTATTATTGCCCTTGTGTATTGTTATTTTATATATTTTCTTCAATATTGTTTCTTAATCTAAGAGTAATTATTCGAACTATGAATATGTTAAATTGGGAACGAAGTTCTGAGAACGATCCAGGGAGAGGCTTTCGGCGGATTTTATATTTCGAAGTCAAAAGTAAAAATAAGTAAGTGCACTGCTTGCTTTATGTGATATCTTTTTTAAAAATAAAATAAAATAAAATTTTATCATAAAGTAAAAAAGTTAGAACCATGTGTAAGTCATCAAATTAAATTAATTATGTAATTTAAGGCTTTTTAGTTTTTATTACTACTACGTGTTAGGACGTTAAAAGCTCTTGTGGCCGTTGATGAATCAAGATATTATTAGTTAAATGTTATTATTTCTATAAAATTTGATGATTTAAGATAATAATCGTACATATATAAAATATTATAATTTTTGTCTTTCTATTATAACACTTGTATATTACACAGGAGCTTGTTAAAGATTTATTCTTAATTTATTTTCTTAAAATATATATATATATAAAAGTTTGATTATTTTTTTTATTTGTACCGAAAAAAAAAGATTATTTTTTATATATATAAAAGGTTTTACAACATTTTTTTAGCGGGAAATAATTAATATTTAAAAAATAATCAAATATCTTTATAACAACAACAACAACAACAACAACAACAAAACAACAACAACAACAACAACAACAACAACAACAACAACAACAACAACAAAACAACAACAACAACAACAACAACAACAACAACAACAACAACAATGTGCTGTTGCACCTCGAACCAGCCCCTCCTGACCCTCAACCGCAACAACAACAACAACAACAACAACAACAACAACAACAACAACAATAATAATAATGTGCTGTTGCACCTCGAACCAGCCCCTCCT